ACCTGATGGCTTCCAAGACCGTCAGCCTCCATGATGGCTTTGATCGCACCGGCGGCACGACCACGGTCTTTAAAGTCGTGACTCAGGACGACTGCACCAATATAGTTTGCTAGGCAATATTAGAACATATAGCTAGAAAGAGATTTTGTTGCACACATGGGGACTTTTTAACCATCTCTGCTAGTTTAGGATTCAGACCCAGCAGCGCATTGTCGATGTTGAATCCGTGGACTTTGTACGGGAATTGTTTGAGACCGGGAATCAAGGATGCATACTCATCCGACATGTCAATGTCCGGATTTTTCTGAGCGTTGTCGGGAGTGTTCGAAGGCATAGTAGTGCGGGTGTGAGGCTCGAAGTAAAGGAAATTTGGACCGAGAAAGATACGGCCATGGTAGACCGTGCAATTTTTTAGCTGCCCCGAGCGAGTCAGCTCCGAGAAATGTCTGGTATTAAGCGGTCGTCAGGAGCATTGCATTGTGGAGCCATGTCCATTTTTCTGATATTATATGTGATGGTATTCTTCAATTTCGCCACTGGAAAACTTTAGAACAGAGTATGGCTGGTTTCACTATATCAATTTTCATGTGTATTACGGAGACCTTGGAGGAAAATCAGGATCGAGGTATAATTGTGAACGGCTGCTTCCCCCATGGGTCATTCGGTGTATACTAGATGAGTAACAAATACGGGGAAATCTGAGCTGGAATTGGTTTAGGCTCGGACTATGTTACAGCAACGTCGATTTAGGGTCCAGGGGGTGTATCAATGGGCGCTGGCTTGGCGCTGGCTGTTTCACGGAGAATGGAGGGTATTACAAGCAACAATTTATGGACTAGTCTGTTCACAAATTGTGAGTTCGGGGAGATTATCGAAATCGCCCACAATCACGTGATTTCGGTGCCGAAACAGCGCCACGTATACTAGCCGACAGGTGGGACGGTAGGATGAGATGAAGGGGGAGGAAAGGAGCCATGGGGGGGTGTGAAAAGAGGGCAGAGATATCTGCGCACCTATTATCCAATAGCTCAGGCAGAGGAAGAAGCTTGGCGCACTGCAAGCTTAGCGCTGTTTGAGAGTCGATGTAGTCGGTATGTGGCCAGTGGACCGTCGGCATGAGTGGAAGTGGATGAGGTCGGAACTGGTGTATTGGGAGCAGCTTTGGTAATAAATGTCGAATAATATCCTCGGAAGCGCAAGCGGCTTCAAAGCGAGCTTCAAGGCTCTTCCCGCATTAAAGCGGTGTAGCTTGTAAGCTACGCGGGTGTGGGGGTCACCCTTGGGTTCAGGCCCTGGCTCACACCCTCCTTGACTCGTGCCACACCACCAGCGCCGACAAGTCCACCGTCGACGAGACCCGCGAGCGTGGGAATATGCGACATGGTGGTGGTTCCGGATCAAGGAGCCCCCTATATCTCGGATTTTTCGGCCGCCCACCTCTTGAGTCTCGGACTGACCTCCTGGGGCCTCGGCCTTGTCAATCTTCTTTTTGAATCGTCATGGTATCTTATTGCATCCGGTCCACACGAGTCTCTGCTTTCCCTTGTCACCCATAGCCATGTCCACCAAGGCCTCCCTCGCTGTCGCGGCGACTGTCTTTGTCCTCTTCTCCCTGCGCGCAATCTTCCGCCGCCGACGGAGCACGACTGTCCGCGACATCGCTGGTCCGGAGTCCAAGTCGTGGGCATTTGGTGTGTATCACACTTTCGCGCCAATCCTGCCTAGGATTCACCTGGCGCCGACCTCGACAGGCAATCTAGCAGAGCTTCTTCTACCGTCATCCTACGGTCAGAATGAGTTTGCGTGGACCAAGCTCTTTGGGCCGGTGTACCGCGTTAAAGGATGCTTTGGCGTAAGCTTGTTTTTTCCCCCCTGTACCCCTGTATAAAAAGTACGCCTTGACAAAAATGCCAGCAAGACCGCCTGGTCGTTTCCGACCCAGTTGCGTTGCAATATATCACGAACAGCCCGAACTTCCAGTTAGGCCCGGTGCTGGCCGTTATGCGTAGCTGGCTGTACGATCGCAACAGTGTCATCACCGTCCGAGGTTCGCCTAGCGCCGTCGTCTTAGTGAAGCTTACATGGAATGGCGCAAAGGCGAGGAACACCGACGTCTTCGTATGGCCCTCAACGTTGGATTTACTGCCTCGGCCGTCCGCAAGTACCGACCTGCCTTTGAAAAGATCGCACAATGGGCGAGTGCTGGATTAAATCAGGAATATTCAAACTAACGCCCGCCTAGATCTCAGAACAGCTCGACGCCACCGTCGAAAAGTCAGTAGAGGTGGACGTATCTCCAATACTCTCTGCTGGCGCTCTCAGAGCGATTACCGACGGTTCGTTCTTTCACCATGGTTGTTCTCAACTAATCTTCGTCTAGTTGCGATGGGTTGCCCCATCGACGACTTGGGGCCAGAATTTATCCAGGTCAACACTCGGTTGTTGTGCGTCGGCCAAGGTCACGATCTAGTCCATGCATTTATCACTGTCATTTCCACAGGGACATTGCCTCAACCCGCTCCGCCGGGCAGATCGTCTTCGATGCCATAGCCGTTCACGTCCCCAAGCCGCTCCTGCGCGCAATGATCCATCTTCCGACTTCCGCCTTCCGCGCGCTGCGTACGTCCAAGTTTCTCTCCCGCCGTGAGGGATGGCGTCTCGTGCGCGAGAAGCTGCAAGCCCCGGAAGGGAGTTATGATGCGGATATCTACAGCCTGTTGCGTGCGTGCCAAATTTACTTTACTTACAATCGCATCTCTGGTGCTGACGCCCCTGGCCGCTGACAGTGCACCCTGACGAGAAAAATGGCACGAAGAAGACTCTGCGTGCAGAGGACCTGGTTGCGCAGACTAGTCTCATTCTTCTCGCTGGGCAGGACACGACGGTAGGCTGGTCTCTCTGGGCAAAAAATACTTCCAGTTTTGTCTGACCTGGCCTCCTCCAGTCCAACACACTCGCCTTCGGCCTACTCGAGCTTGCGCGGCGCCCAGACCTCCAAAACAAGCTCCGCGACGAGATTCACGCTACCATCTCTGCTGCCGGTGGCGCTGTGGCGTATGACAACATGCCTCTGCTCAACGCGTTCATCAAGGTCGGGTACAGTGATCTGCCTTTTCCTGTGCAAAACTGAATTGCTTTCAGGAAATCCTGCGGATGTATCCTGCCGCGGCGCTCTCGGAGCGTGTTGCGCTGCAAGACTCTGTCGTCCCGCTTGCAGAGGGAATCACCACCAGTTCTGGGCAAAAAATAGACGCGATCCCGGTAGGGAAAGGGCAGGTCGTCATGCTGGGCGTTGCTGCGTATCAGAGGTGCGTTCTAGATGCATTTGCATGTAACTAACTAGCTAAAAATCGTGTATGCGTAGATTTGACTCTCGCTGGGGCGCGCACAGCGATCACTTTGATCCAGAAAGGTGGTTAGATGGAAGGGTGCGCCAGGGCGAGGCTATTGGGCCGTATGCAAACCTGTACGTGTATTTGAAATCTCGGCATGGTTTTTCTTTGAATTTTTTTTTCTCTCAATCGCAGGCTCAGCTTCTTCGCCGGCCCACACACGTGTTTGGGGTAAGCTGTCTGGACGCGCAGTGAATTCTAACAGACTTACTGGCTGATCGTTCTGGCCCGCTCGTAGGTGGCGATTCGCGTGAGTTCATCTCCTATTCAAGGCCGCCATGCCCAATCACTGACCGCGAAAAATTTAGGATCCTGGAAATGCAGACCGTCTTGTGCGAGCTGATTGGTAAGTTCGCGTTCTCCGTCCCTGAGAAGGAGAAGGGTCCGTTCCGCCTGCGGCTCGCAACGACGCTACTACCGCTTGACGCGAAGGGGGAGAAAGGCGCAAAACTGTGTGTCAGGCGCGTGATATAGCAGTGTCTCCAGGCTAAACTCATGCATGTTTTTGTTTTTTCTTCCTTTTTTGTAATGAATACTGGCAAATGTACGAACTGATCCTTGCCACCCTGACTCGGTTCTCAGCTCAATTTATTCTTTGTTTGCGTGGCTAATCGTCATAATCTGTGCACTGACAACAAATTTTCAATGTACGTCATGCGAGAGCGACTTGGTGAAGACGTTGGCGACCATGTTGTCCGTGGGAACAAATTGAGAAAAATTTATGATTTCAGAAAAAAAAAAAGTGAGAAAATTTTGACGCTTTTCGCCTACTTGTTTTTTTTTATGCTTCGTGGGGTCAAAAAGAAAGAGAATCACGCCAAATCCATGAGTTGGAGAGAAAACAGATAAAAACATGAAAGAGAGGTGAGGATGAATATAAGTGCATTTTGACCGCCATAAATGGACATTTTTCTCTCATCACACCCCGCCTAAAATTCTTCTTGCATTCCCTTGGACCGTCTCCTTCTCCGGAATGATTGCTCAGGTTTATATTGGCTGCCTCGCCCAATACAGTATGAGGGCATCCATGAGATGTTTGCCACGCTCTTCCGCCCCAGAGATGTTGCCGTAAATTTGTCCAGAGTTGCCAAAACATTGGATTGCTCTCCCGGAGCACATGTGACAATGCCACGATGGAAACCCGATGCCACAATGACCACCTAGGTGACTGCTCATGGAATTACGTTATTCAGGCCATGCTGTGTAACCCTACCTATCAATTTTCCGCTCCGTTCTGTGGTACCAAAAATGTGGCTGTGGTCTTGGACATAGCCACCCGTATTGTACTACACAATGCAGCGGCAAATTAATAGGCACAGTGTTCACGCAAGTGCGGTGGACAATTTACCATTTAATCAACGAAGGCTTCATTTCTTTTCACTGAACATTGATACATATGGTCCCATCTGCGAAAGAAAGAAAAAACCTGTTCGAGTTCGCCACGCCCTCAGAAGGATTATGCACATACGTCGCCAGTAGTGGATCTAGATTTCAGAATATTGGGATCTGCGCATATATATCTATCTTTTGTTTTGGCCGCCAGACGGTGGCTGATGCGTACTGTTTCTGTGGAGGAAGAAAAAAAAAGATCCTTTTCCCACTTTGGGATGCTCTCGGGAGGATTCGAACCTCCGTCTCTCACCTCTGCTTTTTCTACCAACCACCAAGTATGGTGAGCGATTTACCATTTAATCAACCAGAGCTTCACTTCCCTTCACTGAACCTGGATACATATTGTGGTCCCATCTGCAGAAATGTGGCTTTTGAATGTGCACTGATATTTCTCCAGCTGGATCTGCGAAAAAAGAATCTGTACTGACAGTGGCATGTGCCGTGAAATTTTGTGTTTGTCCCTCTAACCTCATCATCAAGGCCTCCCCCATTCAACTCGAATTAATTTAAATTGTTATGAGTGAGAAAAAATATTTCAACATCACCTGCCTTGTTACTGAGATCAAACAGGCTGATGTATTTACGACTTACACTGACTTGAAGTTTATGCAATGGGTTGTAAACAGAGCACAATAAGGACAAAGCGATCACTCGTGACCGCACTTTTTCTCTTCCCACCACCACGCTAGGTTCGGATCAACCCTCTCTCCGGACCGGTCAGCCGGTCTTTCTCGGAGAGAGGCTTGGGACAAGCTAAGACAAACAGTGAGGATCTTCGAGTCGGTTTTGCACAGTCATTCGTGCCACCTCCAACAACTTTAAGAGAGAAAAGTGTTTATTGTATGCCTAGAATTATATGCCTCGAAGTCTAGAATTTTATACTGTGTCCCACTGATCCAACGCTGCAAATGATTGAGCACACATTTTTCTGGAGGGCAACGCAATTTGGATACTATCTTGCTTCAGGTCCCGGTTTTTGTGGCCTCTATCAACTCTTATACTTAAATCATTTAATCCCACAGCTTCAGTCTGTCTCTCCAGTGCTTTCAACATATTAGAAACAATTATCAAGTTCCCGGGAATGAGTGTCACAATGTGTGACAAGTGATTTTTCGTGAAGCGGCGTCTCGGAGCGCCGGAAGCCTTGAAAGCAGATGGGTAATTGACTCCGTGGTGGTTGCGGCCACGGGGCCAGCATATGAGGGGAATTTAGATAAAAAAACGCGCTGCGCATCATTCCCAATCAGGCAATGCCATCAGAGCTTCGGGCTCCCCACACAAAGTCGCGTCGTGCAGTGTCTACCGGGTGAAAAATATTGGTTTAAAAGATGCAAATAAGATGTAACGACAATTGAATAATATCCGCTGCCTCATTTTATTATTTTCGGACTGTAGACGTGGTGAACATCGTGATGCACAAATTCACAAAGTCCGCCGTTGTGCGGCACTTTTCTATTTCTAAAGAGCATATTTTCTCAATATAAACTGGCCAATATCTAAGTTTTATGAAGATGAAGATTTTTGTTTCCAGTGGCTAGCGATTGACGTGAATTGCATGACTCCAGAACGCAACGAAGGTCCTGCCCAATTTCTTGATCTTGGCACAAGCCCTTTCCATTGTTTGACCAAAAACCTGACCCGCATCAACAAACAATGGTCGGCGGCTTGATCCGAACCTACCACCACGCCTTCACCGTACCGTAGCAGCAGTTTTCCGGGAATCAAACAGTGAGCAAATGCTGTTTCTTTCCATCCATCCCACTGATGTCCCAGGGCTTTGGACGGTTTCTAGTCCCTGTGGTGCCACGAAGAGCCGAGGAGTAGACGATGGCCGATTCCAAGGATATCCCCCGCAACAGATCTTTCCTCTCCGAGATTCACAACCAAATATCCGAGGTGGATGCTTGTATCCTCGCTCTCGCACATCGCGAGCGAGACAGCTTGCAGTCACGACTCGACGACTACAAATACCCCGTTCTCACCCTCCCCGTCGAAATCACCTCTGAGATTTCCTTGCTTATCTCCCGGTGTCCCCAGAGTGTCCTCCGATGAGCGGTATTTTCTCACCCACGTTGCTGGGACATATCTGCCGAAAGTGGCGCGAGATAGCATTCGACACGCCCTCGTTATGGAGAGCGATCAAATTACACATCCAGAACTATTCATTGGATGCACAACTGATTGTGCTGAAAACATGGCTTTCGCGGTCCAAGCGCTGCTCCCTGTTTCTCGCCTTCGCCAAGTCATACCCGCTAAAAATCCAGGTATTGCCCCATTTCATTAACACCTTGAGCACGCACTCAGCGCGCTTGGAATACATCAAATTAAGCCTTCCTTTCGATGAACTTGACTGCCTTGAAGGCCCGTTCCCTGTACTTCGCGAACTGACTATCGTGCCCTACTCACCTGGGGCAAGGCCACCCGCGCCAACACTTTTTGACGATGCGCCACAGTTGAGAAGTGTCGTGCTCGGCGCAAACTTCTATCGATGCGACACAGACTTGCCATGGTCACAGATTACCCACATAACTACTAACAATATTCCGCCACACGGGGTAGTGCGAATTCTGCTGGCAGCTACCGGCGTTGTCAACCTTCGTTGCAGCCTACAGGACGACTACCAAATTCACAGTGCCATACCGCCACTGTTTGATCTAAAATCGCTGATTCTATACGACTCCGAGTATGCTGCACCCAACGGCCGAGCCCAAGAGCTACTTCTCGATGCCTTGACGGCACAGGCTCTCCGGCACCTCTTGGTCTCAGAACCCCAGCTCGGCCACCAACTCATTTCGACTATCACCTCATTTCTCTCCTGATCACACTGTTCCCTTGACTCTCTCCAGGTCACCGACTCCCAGTGTTGCGTGAGGGATTATCGTTCAGTCTTTCCCTCGATCAAAGTGTTCGAGGTTTCCGCTCTTGATACCGACGATTCAAGTGTTGAAAATGAAGAGGATGGAGGCAGTGACGAATCCGATGATGATGCCGACTAGCTCTTATCTTGTATCCTCTAAGATTATTTGTACGTCGCGCATTTCATCCACCGTGCCTTCTAATCGATCCCCAATTTTATAGTGGCTCTTTGGCCGCCATTCTTCGGTTCACAAATGTACCATCGACTTTTTCTTCCTTTGGAGCCAGTCCTTCATATGTGCCTCCTTCGCCTTTCATCATCATTCTTCCGCAGATAATATTAATTCTCCATACATATAGCTCCTCATTTGTCAATATTCCCCCTCCTTTTCATCGCTGCGCCATATATCTTGGATCATAAAGGGAGGAATAGCCGAGTGTTTGATTACTTCATACAAGGTTCAATGTTACTTATACTTACATTTTCTCCCTTGACCCACTTGTGGGCCTCCGCACTACGAGACCCGACTATTTTATTTCATTTTGAAGCCGAAGTCTCGACAACTATGATCTACGTACTACACACACCGGTCATTGTTAACAGCGTTACCTGAGATGAGAATTTGAAGTTGGGAAATCCAAGTGTTGAGAAATCCGCGAACCCCTGCAGTAAATACTGTCTGTAAGAGCGGAACGCTTTGCGAATATATTGAGACCGCCTAGTGACTCTCCCGTGTTCATACACTTGAAGCACGGGCGTTTCGAAACTCTTTGTCTGCTGAGCAAGTAGCGTGGATACCAAAAGGTATTTCAATACCAAATCGTCACTACCCGCAGAGTCAACCGCTGTACAAAAAGTACTTTACAAACCTAAAGTTGCATTGGGGCTATTTCTTTTAAAAAATTAACACTCACGGAGTTCAGAAAAAGATGTCCATCGCGACTACATGCCCTCGGCAGAATTTGAACCTCCGTCTCCCACGGGACTCTTGATTCATCAAGCCCTAATACTCAACAAGGGCTACTTACTTTTTAATTGAACTTTGATACGACCCCATGTAGGTCCATCAATTGAATGTGGATCTACATGTCTGATTCGGAATATTAGATTGTGCACAGATGTTCGAGTAACTCTTAACATATTTTTTTTTTCTTTGTCAATTTTCATCGGACCAACTTAAAATAACTTGCGTACTCCTCCGTTGTCTAGTTACTCAACGTAGGGCTGGTTACGAGTCTAATCGGAATGCCAAATTGGTCTCATGGTCCCAATTCTGAGTCAGGAATATATGCTTCCACCTGCTATCTGTCCTTTTGGGACTCCTGCTGAAAATAAATGCTTGAGTCTCGCACAAATAGGCCAAAGTAGGTCCATAAACCAGAACGAGCGGATCATATCTTATCGTCGACTCAGAACACACACCTGACGTACTGTGCAGGCGGAATTATTTGGTACACAGTGGATGAGAATTACCATTGGGGCACTCGGCTTCGAATTAGAATAGAGTCTGTCATATCTGGAACTTCGAACGGGAATGGAAAATTAATTGCGGTGAATTCGAATGTGGCTCATGTACTAGTACATGGTTCACGTAGTAGCATGAATCAATCCTATTGAAAATTCTCCGGTGCAACAATTGCCTCCTGCAACAGGGAACGAAACCCGCTGATGCTATCGGAATGCCCGAAAATTTGTCTCATCGTGAACTTGTGTCGGTTATCAGTGCAGAAATACAGTGTGCTGTGCTTCCTAATACCAAACCTACGCTTTGGAATAAGGCTGGATATAAACTCATGGGGCCAGCACAAAAGGGCCGAATATTATTCATAGATGATGAACTTGAACAAGCTTCTTTGTTGACATCCCATCTTTAGGTGTCTGAAACATGGCAACATTTAAGTTGTGTGCTGCTTTCTCAGCTATATGTGTAGTTCATTTGGGTGCCCCAATGTATAATCTATATATGTAGGGGGGTACTTAAATATTACAAATGTATATTCAGCATCACTATGATCTGTCCGCGATCTGCGTTCGAAAAGTTGACAGATACCCCTTGTACCTGGGAGTGCGTATGATTGAAGGCCACTTCTTGGCACTCGAAAATCTGATGGCTGACCGCCCGGCTGACTCCAGGGAAATATATACAAAGAGAAGGAAAGAAAGAAAAAGCCATTGTAAGATTTGAACCCACACAAGAGGGAATAACATTACCTAGCCAAAACACCCTTAAATTCATTAGATTCTAATCTAATGAAATACCGAAAAAGAATTCAAAAGAGCCGCTGCACAGCCCCTATTTTGGGTTACACGATAGATGGGGTCAAATAAAAATTGAGGTCTCGAAAACCTCATCTCAGACATTAAAAGTACGATTACATAAGTACTCGTAACTATTCTTTAGGTGTCGAGACCGTCTCTCACTTGCGTGAGAACGGGCGCGTCATAGGCTTATTC